TTGAAGTGTTGAAATTGCGACGCGGTGCAAGCTGCGTGGGTCGACAGCTGGCGACCTGGGCTTTGGACTGCCTGAGTGGCATCTGAGAGCGTCGGGCCGCATGACTGTGCAGAAAGCTGCGTGATTCTTGATCAGATTGTTATCCCAGCCAGGCTTCATGGGCGTGATGCGTGTGGGTTTCCCTTCCTTGTGTTGCGTTCGCTTTCCTGTCGCGGGCTTTGTATGGGTTTCTCATTTTTGCTTAAGGCTTCTTAAGCGCGCCTCTCTGGTTTCTCATGGGTGGCAAGCTCCCGTGCAAAGCAAGACCCTGGCGCTAGGAACAGCCAGCGTTTTTGGCCAGAGGCGTGCTGTTGTTTCTTTCTTTCTTTGCTTGCTTGTGTGCGAGCGTGCTTGCTTGCGTGCGTGCTTGCTTGCTTTTTCTTTTTCTTTGTTGCTTTTCTTTTTTTGTATTGCTTTTCTTTTTTCTTTCTTTCTTTTTTTCTTTCTTTCTTTTTTTCTTTCTTTCGTTCTTTCTTTCTTTCTTTCTCTCTTTTTCTCTTTTTCTCTTTCTCTCTTTCTCTCTTTCTCTCTTTCTCTCTTTCTCTCTTTCTCTCTTTCTCTCTTTCTCTTTCTTTCTTTTCCTTTTTTTTTTTTTTATTTCTTGTCTTTTTTTCCGTTTCTTTTTGTCTTTCGTTTTTTTTCTTCATTTTTTCTTTTTTCTTTCGTTCTTTCAGTCTTTCGGTGTACAAGCGCAGCTTTGCCCGGCGCCCGGGGCCCAGTCAGTGTCAGGAGGCAGAGGGCTGGAACGCGGGGGAGGTGCTGGAGGATGTGACGAACCTGCTGGGCGGGGCTGAGGAGTTGCAGCCGCTGGTGGCCAGCCTGCAGCTAGGCCCGTCTCTCACGAGGCTGAGGAGCTGTCGCGAGTTCTGAGTTTTGGCCTCGTCCCACATATCCCAAATATCATAGCTGGGCCCGAAACAAGGCCCCCTGCCATCCTCTGGCAGAAGTGATGTTCTGACCACTGCAGGACGAAGATGAAGGGGACTGTGCGCCTGTCTCATGGCAGAGATATGGGCAGACACAACTACTCCTGGCTGGAGCTGAATCTCACTGCCAAGGATGAGGCAGGCCAACCGGCTCCTTTTGCCTTAGGGAGGTGGCATGTCGTTTGCTGGTTTGAAGCCATTGTGTGCATGCGAAACGGAGCAGTGCCACAGTCTCTGATATTGACAAGCGCCCAGATGCGCCCAGCAGCTACTTTTGTGATCATGTTTTGTTGGGCTGAGTACTCTACAGGAGAGCCGATGACTTCTGGCCGCAGGTGCAGTTGCTTTGTGTCCCCTCCAGGATCCTCTTGAAACCCGCAAGCTCTTCTTGAGAATTGGGGTGTTTTTCAAGCACTGTTTTCATTGTCCATTCATTGCTGTTTATTTATTTTTTTCTCGGAGAAGCAACAAGTTTCAAGTTCAAAGGAGACCCCCCCAGTGACTGCCACCGAGCGCCTTCCCGAGCCAACAAGTCGCGACTAGTCTTCTTTTCCACTTGACGGTCTCACATTGAACTCAAGCCTTGAAGCAGGGAAATGAGAACTGAACTTTTGGGCCAGGTGTTTGATGCGGCAAAGGCTTCAATTTCTCTGCCTGCAATGTTTCAGGCCTCGGCCGAAGAATTCAAGAACGGCTTCTTTGACATTGCAACGAAGTACAGGAAGCTCGCCGCCAACTTGCCTTGTTCGACTTCAATGCGGACGCGCGTTTTTTGAGGGTGCTCTTTTTGGGGTGGTTTTCAAGGCAAACTGTGAGTTGAGCTGGGTGATGTGCTGCGGCTCAACCGTGTGTGTGTGTGTGGCTGTGCGGCTGTGCGGCTGTTTCCTTCAACAGCGTTGCGCAGCCATCAGGCTGTCCCCCAAGTGCGGGGGATTGCTTCTGGAGACTGAGTTGTCTTTGTGGCCCCGAGGTTTGGCAGGGTGATGCACGCGGCAGCGGAGGGGGCCACCGTGTCGATCAGATCCTTCCCTGTCGGGTGGAATCAGAAGGCAGAGGCGGAGCTGCTGCAGGTGGTCAGACGGCTGGGGCACCTGGAGGTGGCGGAGGCCACGGCTTTCCAGTTCGAAGACCTCATCGAGCACCCCGACGAGCCGCTCCTCCAGGAGCTCTTCCGGGGCTTTGTGCTGAAGCTGGATGCCACCCTCACACGGTCCCTGGAGAGGGCTGTGACCGCGGTGGTGGAGCGGGCGGAGGCCGACGGGCCGGTGGGCCGGGCTGAGCAGCTGGAAGACATTTGTTAGTGTCCTTTCGTCCTTTCGTCCTTTCGTCCTTTCTTGTGCTAAAGAAAAGGAAAGAAGTTTTCTTCGTTCCTCTTCCTTCGCCCCGAAAAGGACCGGGTGGCCCAGACCGCGGCGAAGCCCATGGAGGCGGGGCCGAAGCAAAGGGTTTGGATCCGAACTCTGGAAATCTGGGGCCGGAGGCCACGCAAGTGCTGATGACGCTCTTTGCCGGGGCATCCGTGGATGCGAGGTTCGCTTACAACCAGGAGCGCGGGTAAACGCAACTAAGCCGCAGCGTGGCCGTCACGCTCCCATCAGCATTGGAATGTCCATTTGAGTCGTGTTCTTCACTCCCCCTTGGTTCATGGAACAGCCAAGCTGGGAAAGACATCAAGCCCGCATTGTTTTGAGACATCTCAGCATAGAGAGATAGCAAGAGAAAGACCTCGAGAGAGCTGATTTCTGGCTGTTCCCCAGCAGCCTATCCTTTGCCCTCTGGAGGAGTTTGAGATTCTTTAGAAGTAAACAAAGCACTGTCCTTTGAGATCTTGAGATGCAACTCAACAACTTCAGTCAATGCCACCTGTGGTTGCATGCTTTTGCGCGGTCCTTGCCACTGTCAAGCTTCTTCAGCACGCGCTCTTCTTTTGGTCTGTGGTCCAAGTGGACGCCATGGGAAGATTCTGTTGGCCTCGACGGAGGCCTGAAGGCTGGCGGCTTCCCTAGGCATCGCCTTGTGCCTTTTTGTTCGCTGAGCGTCGAAGGAGAACATGGCAAAGATCATGAATGCCTTACCGCACCTCAACACGACCTTCAATGATGTCGTGGGCTTCTTCCAGAACCTTGGATGAGGCAGTTCGCACATGTATTTTATGCTCTCATTTGCTTTTTTGAACATGCGAGCCTGTTGCTGGCTGCAACCGAGCGAATGAGCCGTGCCATAAGTGCGCGTGCCGTGTCTCAACGGCCAGCGGCGCTTGGTTGGGCAACAATGGCCAGAGGCCTGTGACGGCACCTCGGGCCACGTCACGCAATGTTTGGGTTCCGAAGTCGAATCTGGTGCAAATCGCCATGCACCAGCAAATAACCTACAGGCAACGACCAAGCCGCGTTGGTATGTCTTCCGGAGAGATCTCCATGAAACACCATGTAACACCTACGTTACATACGCGTGTATGTGTGCATTTGCGTGTGTGGTTTCCGAGGCAAAGGAAGAGCCCACCGTGGCTGGTGGCACTGGCGCGCCTGGGGCAGTGTCTGGAATCCGTGGCCTCGCTGGAGCTGAAGGACCTTCCCTGGGGCCTCAAGGCGAAGCGCAAAGCGGAAGAAATTCCCAGCACCGCCCAAAACGAACTGCTCTTTGGGGGGGCGGGGGGGGTGGGGAGGTGGGGTGGGGGGTATTCAGCAGCGCTGGCGCTGTGGCCCTACTGTGCTACAGCCTTCTTTTTGGATATTTACTCACTCGACGAGTGTAAAGTGCAAAACCTAATGGACGCATTTCAAGCTTGTCCGACAGATGTCCGACAGAACGTGTTTCTATCGGCGCTGTTTGTTTCACATGTTGGATAAATGAGCCCCTCACCAGCTCTCGCGTAGGCTGTGATCTCCTGGGAGGGCTTTTCGCCTTTTCAACTGCTCCTGCGGCTGCTTGACGATTCAGGCGCTGAATCACTTGTCTCGCTTGGGCACTTGGCAGGTCTGAGGTTTTCCCAGGTGCGTTTTTAGAGCTCAGCTGCTTTGCCACAGGTGTGACAGCCCTGGCAGACGAGAACTACAACGTGAGTGCTGAATAGGGAAAATGTCGACATTTGGCAGAATGCCATTCTGATTTCACAGCCGTTGACAGAGCCCATGTCCGGCACGCTGACGGTTTCTCATCCGACGCTGTTGCTGCAGCTCAGCTCATCTTTCTTGGCGGGCTGCCGAGCTAGCAATGTAACCCGCGGGAACCGCGGTGGGCGTATGGCATACGAGGTCTGCCGAAAGCCTCCAAAACAGGTGATGGCATAAAAGCTGCCCCGCAATGAGGTTGGCTTGGGACCATCCAAAGCAAACCCTGCAGGGATATTTTTGAACCTCATGTGCACTTTTCGAACCCTCACTCAGCATGCGTGCCGTAAAATGTGGCAAGTTGGCCTGCTGCTGCAGGTTCAGTGCAGGTTCTCTGCGCAGATAAAGATAATCAGGCTGATCCAAGCTGCCACACAAAAGAGAAAGCATCCCCACCAAATGTGGCATCGGTTTGTGGAATTGCACTACAGTACCAAGAGCCGAATCATACATTTTTCTACGGCGACATATGCCATGATATTGTCAAGCAGACATCTCTCATTCAGCTCGAGACTTGAGAGGCCAAAGTTATGCAGTATTTCTTCGAATGGGCACCCGAGCATTGGCAATGTTCCCTGTGCAAATCGCGCTGTGTTGGAGTGAGCAGACATCAGCCGACTCAACTGCTTTCCAGGCAGATCACTGAGGATGTGAGCCGAGGAACTGTTTCCATTGCCGAAGTCAAAGACTTCCGAATCTCTTTAGGCCGAAATTCAACTGCTGGACTTCCAACGGTAGGTGGGTTCCCAAGTTCTTGAATGAATGCATGCCGTGTTTTCACGCGCAGCGCACAAGGAGGCCGGCTTCAGAAACCTGGAGAGTCCAGGCTGTGCCAGTCTGCCAGTGCGCAAGGGGAAAAGTTGGGCTTGTGCCTGGCAGGAAAGGGCTGTCCGAGAGGTCCGGTTGATTTGGGCCCATTGCGCAGGTCCACACCTTCCTGAAGAAGTCCTTCGAGCGGCTCTCCGAGGCTTGAGCTGCGCAGCTGGACTGTGGTCAAGAGAGATCGCGAGGTCTGAAAAATCTACTTTGGTGAGTCCATGCCTGATCTATTCGGGGCAACGCACGGTCCTACTCGCTTTGCAGGTAGACCAGATGCTGCCGCAAGTGAAGAAGGCATGATGTGGGAAGATAAATTCAGCGGGGTATTTAAGTATGCGAGTATGTGAGAAAGCGGCCACATAGGGACAGGCAGCAACAGGCCAGACGCATTTCGCCGCCGTGTTGTATGCTGAATGATCGCAACTAGGACCTGGGGGCTACAATTTCGAGAGAATATTATACGCATCAAACGAATGGCACTTATGGACCACGGTCGGTTGCTGAGCGTGGATTCGGAGGTGTTTCAGAGGAGACCCAGCGTCAGGTGGAAGAGCTTGCCAGCCGTGGTGTTGGCATTCACCATGGAGGGTAGCTTGGTCGCGGGGGCAGAAAATGGGCAAGTGTGATGAATGTTTATGGAGCGATATGGAGCGGTTTGCAGCATTTGTTTTGCTTTGTTGCTGTTCAGCTGGTGAACAGCAACCAAGAGATGCGCTTAGCCTGCAAACCGGATGGATTAGACTGGCTGCGCGTACCAGCCAAGGCTATTGCCAGTGGTGAAGGAGGCGCGAAGTGTCCGGGATGGGGCATCCGTGAAACAGACTCAGCACACTTTTTGCTTGTGTACAATGCCTAGTTTTCTTGCGGCTGGTGAAAATATAACGGGTCGAGCACTTGATTCCAAGAAGCACCACCTCACTGTTGCTTTCTCATCCAGTTTCGCATTGGTACCTGGCAGTGGGAATTTTCCTAGGGAAGGCGAGCACCGCCTTCTCCCACAGGCAAACTCCAAGCTCAGGCGGTGGAGATCATGTTCTCCCGTGGGCTGGTGCCAGCCTGGCACCTTTGACCCGGAGAGTCGCTGCACTCTCTCCAAGTTTTGGCTCGCTCAGAACCAGTCTCTGAAGGGATCGGAGGTCAGAGCTTCAGGGGCCAACAAATTTTACCGCTTTGCAGAAGGAGCTCGAGTGGTTTGGCAGCGCCGTGGTTTACGGCTCTTTCCCTTTCGCTTTTCCGTTGAAACTCTCTAAAAGGGGCGGGAAAAGGGTGCGGGGGGAGGGTGGAGGTCGGGAACCCAGTTTTGACCTCCCAGACTGGGGTCGACGTCCAGAAATCGCAGCTGCCGTTGCCAGGAAGGTCCTCTTCGCCACCGAGACCTTTGCTATGGGCGTGAACATGCCCGCGCGAAGCGTGATCTTCACCGCCTGGGCCGGCTGCTGAACAACAGCGGTGCACTTTTCCAACAGGTGCTGTTTTCCTTGACCAGTTGCATTTGTCGAGAAGCTGCCCGGTCGGTGAGCTCCGGTCGTGTCTTGAGGCTTCCTACCATCGGTTTAGGAGGTGCTTTCGTTCAAGTCGGCTCGTTGAGGCCAAGCACGATGGCAACCAGCGCCGTCCGTTGCTGCCGTCGGAGTACACCCAGATGGCCGGCCGTGCTGGGCGCCGAGGCCGCGAGGGAAGCAACCGGGTAGCAGGGTTGGAATCAGGGGTTGTTTCGGCACTTTTGTGATGGGGGGTGGGGAAGGTGTTGCTGGTGATGCTGGTGCACTTGTGGAACATGAACTGGACATTTACTCGAAAAGCCTGTAACAGATCCGGTAACTGCAGCCACAAATCCAGCAGCTACGCGATTACCAAGCATGGTTTTGGTACATTCTTGGTGGTCGTGTGGTCGTTTGGAAGTGTGCATAGACTGCACAGCCTAAGGGTCCTTTGTTTCATTTGACCATTCAAGATAACAAGAAAACACAATGCAAACGAGGTTGAGATGAACAGTTGGGAAAGCCGGACATCGAGCTTGCACGCAAAAGCCGTACCCATGGTGGACCTCTACGAGAAGACATCCCCAGAAACCTCAAAGAGAGCTCTACGACCGGGCCCCGGGCCCATTGGCCCATTCCATCTTCAGGCCTCGACACGGAGGGTAACGTGTACATCCTGTGCGGGGATGAGGTGCCCGACCAGAAGAAAGTCACTCGGATGATGACCAGCAAGGCGCCAAATTTCGCGGCGTTCTCGATCCGCGGCTGGGAGTCATCCGAAAATGACGCGGGATTGAGGCAGTCAGAGCAGTCAAAACCGCCGGCTCGGGGCTTTCCCTGGTTTGTCCGCACCGCGCGCCGAAACGTGCCAACAGTCCGGGGCGTTCAGTCATGGGCTTGAAGGACTTGATTTGGAAGAGATTCCTGCATTTGTAGATCCTTACATTTGTGAGGAATCCACCGCGTTTTCGTTGTTGGTCAGGGCTGAAAAGGATGGTGAACTTGTGAGGCCGAGCCGCTGCTCTCTCGGTTCCGGGTGACCTTTGCGATGATCCTTCAGATGCGGCTCGGATTGTGGCAATGCGTTGCGATGGCGATGGTGATTCTTGATCAACACCTGTGTCTGATTCCGGAAAGCTTGCCCCCGGCCCAGGAAACGCTTCGCGCAGAGCGGGGTTCAGGTGGAGGACCTCCTTGGCCAGTCCTTCCTTGAGAATGCACGTGCGCGACGCAGGCCTGCACCACTTTCGCTTTAAACTTTAGACACATCGAGCAGCTTGGGCTTTACTCCGTTGGTCCGTCGCGCCTTGCGACGCAGGCCGAAGGCGCGGCAGGACTTGAAGGAGCGGAGCCGGCAGCTGGAGGCGCTCGTGACTCGTGACGCCGGTTTCCCGGATGGGAGCTTCGTGGTTCCGAAGCAATGGGTATCTCGCGGACAAACCGTCACTTGCTACGTGCTCTTGTTCCACAGGATCATGTTTGAATGCATCCTTGTGTAAGAGCAAAAAGCCGGCAAGGACACATTTTTGGAGTGCAGACGTTGCAAGTGGTAGCATTGCTTTTGCGTGCCTGTTTCCGCCTCAGTATAAGTTCCAATGTGTCAGTATGAGATGGCGTGGCTTGCACGATTTAGTGCCGTTCCTATGCTTCCTGCGAGCGTCTTCTGCGCAATTTAGGAGCAAAGGCCAGGCATGGATCAACCAGGCCTGTAAGTACAGCAAGGTGAAAATGCGCAGCGATCCAAGCGCGGATGAAGCATAGGACGTGTTTGGGATGCACTAACATTCAAATCTCAGATATTGCATTCCATGCAGAACTGATGCTTCAGAGTCTTGGAAGCGCACGTCTAAGCCCATGGCTGTGACTTGAGTTCCATTGGGGCTCTAAGTTTGAGGACATGTTGCCAGACAAGTTTTATCCAAATCTATGTTGTGTTCCATGATATTGTTGGATGGACTGCGTTCCATGCGGGGAAGGAACGCCACAGCTAAATGGCGGTGGCTTCGATGGGTGTGTGCAGTTTCTCGAAATGCAGCTGTTGGCTATGCCGGGGTTCCCCTTGTGCGCCAGTGGAGTTGGTTTGTCCACGTCGCCGCTGCCTTTCGCTCTGCTCTCACGGGAGCTGGCCATTTGTTGTTCAGAGCCTGCAGCGAATGCAGGCCTTGCCGCCACTGCAGTGCGTCTTCGGGGAGCCAGACATGGAGGTGGGGCCTTTATGGTGGATTAGTCGCTTCACTTATGAAGACATTACATTTTTGGATTGGGATGTTCCGTTGCAACTCAACGTGAACTCGGGTTTTGTTCGGTGGAGTCATTGTTAGAAGACCGCTAGAGGCCTGAGGCTGCTTTGTGGAAAGGCCGAGCATGTGCACGTCTGTGTTCTATGGAAATGCAGAAAGGCTACATCTCAGATTGCCTGGAATCCAGGGGTAGATCCCCGAAATCCACGCTTTCCTAGCTTTGCCGCGCTGATTCTCGCCTTTTTTTTAAATAAAAAAACGAAGGCTCGATTTGCGGCCAGGACTATGCCGACATGGAGGTGCTTTCCCGCCAGCTCGGGCTCCAGCAGCCTGGACTCAATGGGAGATCTTGTTCGCGGTGTGTTTGCCACGTGTTGGGCTGAATTTGAGGCTTGGGCAGGTTCTAGCAATTCTGGAGGCCCAAAGCCGTCTAACAGAGATTGCATGGGCTCTGAACATCCTGCAAATGCGATGAGGTCAATGCTACTTAGTTGAATATTCACGACCCCTAGACCCCCAAAGAGGTACCCCAAATGCATGTGTGGCTGATGAGGCCTCTTGCACTGCATGTTTGAGATTGAAGTTTGCCATCGCCAATGCGCTTTGGCTCAAGTACTTGATGCCCATAGCAAAACCAGGGTTGGCGCTCACTTACCGTACTGGGGTTAATAAGGGTCCCGGTTTCTGGTTCGCTGTGTTTCTTTCCCTGTTGAGTTACTTTACAGCCGTAATTGCTTTTTGGGATAGGCTCCCTCGGTCCGGTAAGTTTGCGCACCTCGTGCGTGGACCCGGCTCCGGCTTTCTCAGCCAGAGGCCAGCGAGGCGTTCGACTCACTCACCCGGGCTTGGCAGCAGTTTCGCCTTGGGGTCGAAAGGGTTCGGAGGAAGCTTCGTCCTGGCGTGGCAGGCCAATTTTGCTGACCACAGCGGCATTTGCGGGACGCCTACCCCGACCTCTACGTCTCTGTCATCGCTCGTGGCCGCCGTCGGCAAAGTCCACTTGTTCAGCGGGCACAGGCCGCAGCTCAAGGCGCGGCAGGACAGGACGGCGCACCTGTTCAGCAACCTGGCCGACAAGTCCGTCGTCGACGCCGACGGTGTCTACTGTTCAGGCTGCAGCTCCAAGCGCAGCGGCAGTTACATCGACATCAGGGCCGGCAGACCAGGCTACACACGCCGCCGGGCCCGCCACCACAAAGGGCCCCTTCTGGCAGCCAGCCCCGTTGACAACACTCCTCCTACCCTGCTACGGCATTTGGGGGAGGTTCACTTCGACCCAGTGCCGCAGGCGCCGCCAAAGCGCCCGAGATCCTGGGCGCTAAAAGCGCAGCAAGGTCGAGGACGCGGGGCCCACGCTCCCCATCACCACCTGCACGTGCGTCCCTCAGCAGCCGGCCTCTAATTCTCGCGTTGTCCAACTCCTCGTATCCAATTACAAGAGTGGACAGCGCCGGAATTTGGATCTTGCAGCATCGGCGCGAAGGAGTCCCACCGAGGCCAACACAGCGGGCACATCAAGCTCCGCTCACTGAGAAGCTCCGAAGGGCAACTACACCTTTTTCTGTCCAGACTGGTCGGCCTTATGGCTTGGACGGCTAGCCGTCCTGACATCATTTTGCTAGCCACCGCCGTGCAGAAATGGTCTCGTAATCATGATAGGCAGCTCGCCCGTCTCATTGCGCACATCAACTCATCAACGCACTACCGGTTGGTTGGGGTCATAAAAGATAACCCGCAAGATCTTCACCTTCTCTGTACGCGGATGCCAACTACGCTGGGGAAAGAGACGCGAAGTCCATGTCAGGTGGCTTCTTGGTTCTCAAAAGACCAAGCGCTCAATTTCCCGCTGGCATGGTTGAGCAAACGACAAACATCAGTTTCCAGGCCCACCACGGAAGCAGAGGTAGTGTCACTCGCATACTCATTGAACCAGGAAGGTTTGCCTTCCTTGAGTCTTTGGGAACGCCTGCTTGGCCGCCCTGTTGAACTGGTGTTGCATGAAAACAACCAAACCACAATCCTTGTTGCCAAAAAGGGCTACCCCAGCGCACTCACAAGGTAAACCTGGCCGCACTTTCGGAACAGCTTGAACCTGGCACAGGTGTAGTGATCAAGCACGTTTCAAACGAATTGCAAGCAGCCGAGCATTAGGACAAATTTGCCCGAAAAGTTGGAAGATGTTGATTAAGCCCTCAACAACAGTCTGGTAAAGGACCGCGTCACACGTGCAGGTTGCTGCTCAAGCGCAACTGTAAGATAGTATCTCTTTGTGAGAACGGGGAGGGGGGAGTTGAATATTCACGACCCCTAGACCCCCAAAGAGGTACCCCAAATGCATGTGTGGTTGAGGCCTCTTGCATTGCATGTTTGAGATTGAAGTTTGCCATCGCTAACGCGCTTTGGCTCAAGTACTTGATGCCCGTAGCAATTTGCAATCACTGAAGTGTATCGTTCTGGGCTGGCTGTCCACTGGAAGGGGCGTGTCGTGTCGGCAAGCGGCCAAGGTTGCATGCGAGGCTTTGCGAGTCGAAGTCTCGGGACAAGGTCTTCTGTCCGGGGCGCTTGCCCCAGGAAATGGCTGTGGCACTGTGGCGTGGGCTGGACGTGGCAGGTTTGACGCAACGGCTCAAACCGGCAGGTGGCTTCCGCCGATTACTTTCTACAATCCTACATTCAGCCAAGGACAGCTGCCATCATTGATTTCCTTCATTTGTCCAGCCGCAGCACTCAAAACACTTGAATGAGCCTGCTGACACGCCTTCAGAGACATTTCGCTGAGTGCTGATTTTTGCTGCCATGGTGCTGGAGTCCTTGCGTTTCTCCCGGGAGAAAGGCCTGGAGGTGCTGGATCAACTTCAGGCAGGGAGGTGTTTTAGGAGGGGGGGGTCCTGTTTATCAGGGGTATGTTTGGTCTTGGCTTGGTGTGTGTGTGTGTGTATGTGTGTTTCAAACAAGGCATTCCGGGAGCGCACCAGATGAACACTAGCATGTGGACCGCATTCAGCTTCTGCTTGAGGCAGACTTTTCCCGTATAACAAGTCTCGAGCTGAGGGCTGGTATGGCTGGTGCAACCCTTTGCCTTTTTGAACAACAACCCTACGGACAACTTTGAGGACAACGTAGTGATTTCAGTGCTCTTTTGTCGGGGAAAAGGCAGGCTCGGACATGCGCGCTGGTGTGTCCACTTACTCGGGGACTGCGGCGCGGTTGGGGAATATTTGTATTTGCAGGTGCCGCATCAGAAGGAGTACATCCGAGTCACGGACTCGGAGGATGCTTGGAGCCTCGCATGAATGAAGTTGCTAGGTTACTTTATTTGCTCTATGCTTCTCCCGGGCTCCGCGATGCATCCGAGGAAGGCGGTTCGCTCCATGCAGGCAGGGGCTTGGCTCTAGCAGCTGATGGGTATGTTCCATAAATCCGGCGCCCAGGCTGCTGCTGGATTTGCCTTGTTGGCCACCCTTTGGTTTCTACTATGATGTGGGATGAAGTCTGATGTGCATCGCTATATATATATATACACATACATATATATATATATATATATATATATATATATATATATATATATATACATACATACATAAATACGTGTATATATGTTAACATACGTACACACATACATGCGCACATATTCATGCGTATGCACACATGGAGCCAGCAATGCAGCAAAGAAACGCCTTGGTTCGCTCAGGTGCGAGGCGCCCCGCTGCTGGCCATGGTCTCGGCCCTGGGTCTGGCAGTGGAGGCCCTCGAGCGAGCACGTGCCAAGCACGAGGCAGGCTCTGGGGGTCTGGGCATTGGAGTGGGAGGACGGGCAAGAATCTCCTCCTAGACAAAACCCCTTTTTATGGTGGCTCCATTTGGATTCCCCGCAAAACCGTCCCCCAAACGATCCAACAAGGGGAAGTTTGCGCTTCAGCCACGAGGAGGTATGGATGCAGGACACAACGAGTAGGTGAAAGCGCTGGGCAATCAGGCTTCCATGTCATGTTGCACATGTCATAAGCTGGCTCCACTGGTTGCTCAAGTTGCCGCTTCGGCTCAAAGGCTGGTCCATGCTTTCATTGCTTCCCGGTAGCCATGGAGCTCAGGAAGCAGCAGCTTCGGTCGATGGAGCGGCTGTGCGTGAAGACCCCGCCGAGGAAGCCCGTGGAGCCCCAGGAAATGAACTTGAACGCGAGCTCGAGCTTCCGAAGTCCGCCCGAGTACTCCTTCTTTCCACACCCAGCCGTTGAGCGCAGGAAGAAGCCCCTGGATCTTCCCGGGCCGGGCAAGTACTACCGAGATGCCAAGAGTCAGGACAGCCCGTCCTGGAGCATTGCCTGTGGCCTGCATGACTTGGATCCATGCACCGTGGATCAGTTGCACTGTAGGCACTGTGAGAAGCAGACTTTGGACTCATGGCAGCCTCCCCGAGATGACCCGAAGCGGCGGCGGCCTGCAGCGTGCGCCACCAAGGGCTGTGCCTACGTGTCGGCCTTCAACCGGGGCTACTGCTGCTGCTCCTGCAGCAAGGCGACTCCGGCCCCAGACTTCGCCGTGACCGCGCCGGCGCCAGCGAGGCGTATCGAGTCGGAGACGAAGTCGCGGGCGCGGCCCAAGGTGTGGCCAGGCCCCGGGCAGTACGAGCTGAAGAGCACGCTGGAGGGCGTGGACGTGAGCGGCCGGGGCTGGATCAAGCCGAAGCAGAAGGACACGAAGCGGGAGGCCCTGGGCCCAGGACACGTGGAACCCCGGTTCACCTTGACCTGCAGGCGAGCAATAGACATGTTTCCACCAACTCGGACGGGGCATCGATGCCCATAGACGTCCAATAAGAGCGTGTCTTCTTTTGAGGGTACTTTTTTTTCTTTTTTCTTCTGAAGGAAAACCGCTTTGCCATGTTGGGGGTCCGATTCCAAACGAGGGCACCCCCTCAATCTCTTCGCCAGGTCTTCTCCGAGCGTGGGGTTCGGGGTCGGCAGCCGCTTCAAGGATCGGCCCAAGCCCGCCAGGGCTCAGTCCGCGCCCGGCCGGGAGGGGCCGGGGCCGGGGAGGTATGCGCCCAAGCTGGACAGCGCTCTGACACTTGGACAGTTATATGGCATTTTTTTGAACGGCTTGCTTTTTTTGTGGCTTGGGTGAAGTCTTGAGACGGAGCCATCCAGGAGAAGCTCCCCTGCAATTTCCATTCAGGGGCCATGGCCAGACAGAGTGGACAAGCAGCGAAGCCAGGACAAAGCGATCACTCTGTGGGATGGAAGTGTGATTGAGCCGGATACTCCGGTTGGTCCTGGCGCGCCAATCACCACCTTCAAATCAAGATGTATGTCTTGACGCCCCGTTCTGCCCGTGTTAATGCCTGCCGAAGGTCGCGCTGAGCGCGACGTAAGGCCTTGTTATTTCCGGCTCGGTACTTTGCAGCCAACTTATTCAACTTCGGGAGGCCAGGCGTCAGTTCCGCAGCTTACCTGGTTGCAGTTTGCAGGAAGCCCCATGCGGTGTTCGACAGAGAGAGGCGCATGGAAAGATGCTTCCCTCCCGAAGACTCTTCACGTGCAGAGCTCCCTGCCCCCATTGCCAAGCTACAGACTGCAAACGTAGTCTGTGGTTGTGGGCCGCGCTGCACGGCAAAGTGTTTGCGCAAAAGATTGCTTGGCAGAGGCCCACTTACTTTGGCATGTCATCCATCGACAGCCTACTGAAGGTTGCCGCTTCTGAATCTAACCTCTCCATTCGAAGATGGCCACGTAAGCTTCTTTCCGTTCCGGATCGTTTTCAAGCAGAAGGAAGCTGGTTCGCATGCATCCTGACGTCAGGCGTCAAGGCCCCCTTTGCGGAGCCAAAGCGCTCCAGACCGGCCAAAGCCGGGCTATGGCGCAGCCGCGTCCGCCGCATCCGTTGCCAGTCCTCCTGGGCGAGAAGTATGGGGGCCTGGTGGACGTGATGTGCAGCATGGAGGCAGGGCTTGAAGTCGCTGACCAGTTGTTCAGCCAATGTTCGGATTTCAGCTCCAAGGTCCTGCTTTTCTGAATTTATGGTCTCTGCAAAACGCTTGGAGGTATGTTTAGGCAGCACAAGTTGTCTGCCCTGACCCTTTGTTAGGTGAATGACGAGGATATTTTGCGTGCAGTTTCGGCCCACAAAGCACTGGGATGCTGCGCAGAAGTCTTGCGCAAGAGTTGCAAGGAGGGGGCCCCCAGCTACTTCCATATGAGCTCTCCGATCCAGGACCAGCGTTTACTGCCAGCCGGGGAGTTGAAAGATACACTGCGCTCTTTTTCTGAGGGTGGTTTTGTATATATATATATATAATAGATATACATATGTATGAAACAAATACATCGTTTCTTGGTTAGAGGATGTCACCCTATCTTCGATGTTGTTGGTCATTTGAAAAGAAGAACCTAACCGGGGGCCCAGAAGTGAGACCCAGCCTTCACAGGCTTTGAGGCAACTCACCCCCCAACTTGGCTTTGGACCCATGTTTGTTGCGGGAACCCTTAGTTGGTGGTTTGGTGCTTTGGGGAGTTGAACCCGGTTATTGTAGAGGGCAAATGGGAAAGAAGCATCCCTGAACCAGCAAACCACCAGTTCAAACTGCCAATTTCTGGTAAGCGGATGTCTTTCACAGAAAGGAGATTGAGGAGTTCTGGTCGCACAGCTGGAGGGCAGAGCCGTGGAAGAAGATCGCCACCTTGTTGGTCCTGAAGCGGGGCCCGGCTGCGGCCGTCATCGGCACAGTGGGCGCCATAGTCGCCATGTCTCTCTTTGGCGCCGGCATGTTGCCCGGGTACCGCAAGACGGCGCTGGTGGGCGGCACGCATCTCTTCGGTCCTTACGCCCTATTTGCGGGACTCCTTTGCAGTTCCTTGGCTCTGGCATTTTGGAGGCCTCGCACCTTTGTGTTCCTGGACCAGATCTGCATCAACCAAACAGATCTGGAGTCCAAGGCCAACGGGGTTTTGCACATGGGAGCCTTCCTGAAGAAGTCCAAGTCCATGCTGGTCTTGTGGGATCCGACCTTCGTCCAACGTCTTTGGTGCATGTTCGAGCTGGCGGCCTTCCTGAAGAGTCACGAGGATGAGAAACATAAACACCGCCTGTCGGTGAGGCCCATCTTCTTGGGGCCGTGTACCTTTGCGATCGCTGGCAGCCACTTAGCCGCACACATGCGTGATCTGCATGCCGAACCCAAACACTCTTCTTGCGAGAGTTTTGACACGGCGAGATTGCTAGATTTGCAGGTATCCAACTTGGAATGAGGCTAGTTTGTGGCACCAAGGCTTCTGTGGAACAATGTTTGGTTGCTTCTGCATACCATTTGACAACCTCTTGTATAGCTTCCTGATCTTTGCCGCTGTGGGCGCAGTGGCCTCCTACTCCGCGGCCGTGCTTTTCCGCCGGTATTACCGGTCTATCCAGGCCATGGAGGATGAGTTGAGCGTGTTCCAGCTGGAAAGGACGCAGTGCCTGTGCTGCAGCCTGGGCCATGGGCCCGGCCCCGCTTTCTGTGACCGGCAGCTTGTGACAGAATGCATCAGGAAATGGTTCGGCTCCACTGAAGGCTTCGAGCAGTGCGTGAGGTCCTCAGTTTCAGCTGCATTGAGCGAGCAGCTGGGAAACTTCTCCTTTCCCTATTTCTGGGTGCTCGGCTCCACCATGCCTTTGGTTTGGGGTCAGATGGATGCCATTGCGGCGCGGCTCCGCTCTGGCAGCACGCAGGGGGCACTGGGCATGGCGATCCTCACTTTGGCCTGGTGGCTGGCGGTGCTCCCCATACAGGTTCGCTCCGGGGTCGCCTTGGCAAACTACTTCCGCGAGAGGCAGCGGAATTTGTGCCTCGATGTCCTTGTGAACGTCATGGGCTTGATCGCTGTAGAAGCCATCGCCGCCGCCTGCATGGTCCTGGAGGCGGCTCTGTTCCGAGCGATGGACCCGGTGGCGGCCGCGTCCACATTTGCAGTTTTGGTCATCCCCGCTGCGGCTCTGGCGTATTCCAGATGCTGCGTGGTGCGATGACATGCGAGCGAGTACAGCTTGTGTACAGGCTCCAGCTCACGCTGATGAGCTTTGCCGCTGGCCGGCCCGGCCGGCCCAACAACTCATGCAGAAACAGAAGAAATCACTTCGCAGCATCGCTTTTTGCGTCACAGTTTGCAAGCCGTTTCTTCCCTTCGCTCGCCAGGGTGCCCGGGCCTGGCTTCTGGAGCGTATGCCACGTGGACCAAGAGAGGTGTCCGAAGGGGCGGTAAGAGAGTTTTCTGGGCGCTGGTTGACACAGCTTACAGCCAACCAAGTTCTAATCCATCAGCAAGCAGCGTGCCGCACATCTTGCACAGCAAGGCATTGGCACGCTTCCCGCATTAACCCATGTGACGCCGGAATGGCTTGAACTCCCAAGCTTTTCTCAATCTGCAACTGGCTTCATGTGGCCGTGGTAGCCTCATATTTGTGCCGCTGAGGTCGTACCTGAAGACCTCCCGGCCCACTGCAGTGAACCTCTTCAACACCATGGACTCGCTGCGTGAGGACATTTGTTTTCGGGCTGTTGGAAAAAGCAACATCACAACGAAACAAGGTGGTGGGAATCCGTGCAAGCACATTCCATGCCCAATGGGATCATCCTACCTGAAGCGACTGGCTCCTGCGTCAGGTTGTTGATGAAGCCGCTGCCAGCGGCCAGGATGATGTGCAGGCAGATGTAGCCATGGGCCATAACCTATGCCTCCATTTTGGAGCGGATGAACACCCATGTACCACCCATTTTGATGTTCACCAGAGGTACAGGGTTTTGACCCACAGCCATATACGTGGGAACTGCCTTCTGTGCGATCCCACTCGTCTTTGGGAACTGTTTCGATGGGCCTCGGGCCTCAAGCCTCGGGTGTCGCACCAGATCTATCATGCCTACGTGGATGCCGCAGAGCGGATGCTGGAGGAGGATGTGACGGCCAACAAGGCCGGGATTGGGTCCACAGCTGCAAGGCAAGGCGCCGCCCGCGCCGCCCCTTTGCGTAGGCTCTTTTGGGTTTCTGAAGTTTGTTTTGCATTCTCAACCGGTGGTGTTGGGGGGACCAGAACTAGAGGGTCAGATTTTGCGCGCGGAATAGGCCTGTCGTGCGACCTGCACCTTTACTGACCCTTTGTGTTTCCGAGGGAATACATAATTGTTTTTTTTGAGGATCCTCTTGTTCTGGCGGTTTTTACACGTTTTGTCAATTTGGGGGGTCCAAGTTCCTAGAAGACGAGCCACCCACACGACGTGTCTGATGGAACCTATGGGTCTCATGGATGCAGGCCATTGGCGACGTCGGCGCCGACGCCATCCTGGCGGCTTTGAAGGCGAGGGGCTGGAGAGAAAATCGCGAAACGGTTTTCCTTTGGTCCTGCAGAAACCGTAATGGAAATAAGACACCCTCGAAGCAAGTTCAGTGCCGGCGCGAGACGCCAAGTCAACACTGTCAACACTGGCAGCCAAGCCCTATTTTCATCAATCAGAGCCTTCTTCCCCCATCATCAGTGCTTTGTTTTCCGAGTTCCTTCTTCTCATCTCCTAGACCGCTGCCTAGTCTGAAGGTCACTGCACAAAGCATCAGCACACCGGACACGGAGTTGCGCCCTCTGTGATTTGTGATCTCATGCGCGCTGAAACTCAAAGTTAGTATGTATACATATATATATATATATATATATATATGAATTTGTAGTCAGTCTGAGGGCAAGGCCCGGGTGCTGACGATCTGCAACACCGGGTCCCTGGCAACGGCCGGCTGGGGCACGGCTCTCGGAGTGCTGCGCACCCTCCACGCCCGAGGACGCTGAAAGCACGTGCATGCTGTGTGGTATAAGTGGACCAGACGATTGTACACCAGGAAAGAAGTAACATGCACGAAGTGAACGGGGGCGCTCAAACATCCTGAGAACCTGAGAAGAAGGGAGTGGTGGGGAGGCTTATTGATACTCTCAAAAAGTCCCCGAACCCAACAAAACTTATCTGAATGGGCCATGGATACATTGCGCCACTGGCTTAACTCTACCCAAGGCCGAAGCCTCAAAGCCACTTTGAACCCACCAAGCCGAAACGCAACACCTTGGAAGCTACAACGGCAGCCTCGCCCTGAAGCCTTGAGTAACGTCCCCGTCAAACACTTCCATTATTTTCTCGCCATAGCCCAAGGAAGATTGGCACTTGGCAAATGAAAGTCGTAAGACAAGAATACGTTTTGGCCCGCAGGGCCTTCGAGACTTGTAGAATCTCCTTCGAACGCATTTTTTTGTTAAAATACCATCTGGCAGTTGTTGAACGGCGCGCAACACGGCCGATTCCCTCATTGCAAATGGACAACCATGAGTTCTGGCGTCTTCCCACACTTTGTGACTGCTGTACCTGCTGTACTTTGGGCTTCAGCTATTCTACATGTTTCATCATCGGTTTCAGGTTTGGGTGAGGTTTCACTGACTATTTGAGAACACGAACTTGGAAAGCCAAGCTGATGAATCTGGCTTGATGATTTTGGAAGATATAAGATTACTTCGAGATGTTTGTGTGGGCATCTTTTTTTCATTGCATTAATTGCACTTTGTCAATGCGCAACACATTCTTTCTGCAGACACAAGTTTGTCATGTTTGGTTCCGTGTTCACGCCGCCGATTCAGCAGGACGCCTGGAGCAGGCGTACTGCCTAGAGACGCGGCCCTACAATCAGGCAATCGCAGTTCGGTCTTTGGCTCACCGCGTAGGTGTCCGGCAGAATGCTGTAGTCAAGACCATGCTGGTGCGGCTTGGTGGCGCCATGACTTGTTTGAATGTGCCAACCTGCAGCGGATTTTGTTGCTTCTGTTGGTTCCGTTTTCACCACCCTTTGATGTCACGGGAAAGTCATCCCTGGAATGATCCTGATCATTTCAGATCCTGTCGCCAGGGTGCTCGTCTCACTGCCTTTGAGCTGGTGGAGGATGGCCTGCCTGGGACTCTGAAACACGGCGGCACCAAAAGGGGGGAGTGTCCGCATTGCCCGCCATGCGTTGCGGGTTTGCGCTGGCTGGTAAACATTGGAGAATGGAAATCTTGATGAAGCAAGCTTCAGCTCCTTTGTTGCTGTTGCGCTGCATGAGGTCCATGTAATTTTGGGGAAACAAGTAGTGAGGGAGTCTCTGCTTCGATTGCAAAAGTTACTTGCAACTTGGAATCGGAATCCATCAGGCGTCCAGGAGTCTGACCAAGACATCTGAAATGGTCTCGGAAGAATTCTATAGTCAGGAGGTGCCCATCTCCGATGTAGCCAGCCCACGACAAAGCATAAGTTCCACTGAGTGGTACCGATTGCGACTACTACGTGTCATGCGATGAAGCACCTGCATGTCCTCCAACCTGGGCCAGTCATGGCGGTCCTTTGCCGTTTCAACACCTCGCTTGAGTCATTGCAGTGACCTCGCAGGTGATTTGTCTGAGGCTGCTCCAGGGTTTTTGCAGGTTTCACAGCCCCACGCTGGCGTTTTAGTCTTTTGCCACAGCTCTCCCACGGTGCACAATGCTTTTCAAACAGCAAGCCATGACACCAAACCTTTGTCAATCCAAAACCTGCCAGCTTGTTTCAAAACTGACCTGCGGCCGATGTTGCAGGAACGTTCTAACATCTCGGAAAAAGGCTAGATTGAATGGGATAGATAGTCACCATCAGAAAATCCATCTTGCACAGGGCTTTAAACATGTCCAGCTTCCCCGGTCTGTCATATAGGCCTGGGAGCAGTGCCACCGTTTTTAAAGGGAGATTGTCCAAACACCTTGCAACGTCAGGCTTCGTGTTGGTGGACAGGTGGGTGAATATCATTCCCTTCCCCTTAACGAGGAAACCCTAAGCCCTAAACCCCTGTTGGGGAGGGTGAATCCAGGTCTGCCATTCGCTTCAGGATCTGCGACTCCATGGCAGCAGCGCTGATGCAGCGCCGGGGGGTGGACGCCTGCGTGGTGGGCGCAGACCGGGTGGTGGCCAATGGCACGGCGCTTGGGATGTTTCGCTGCGACACGTGTGGTGGCTCGCTCGTCATCTGGTTTCCCTTTGGCGACAAAAAAGGGGGTATCAAGTCCAAAAAGAGACACCACCCATATGCGGGAGTCCGTGGCAGTTTCAATTTATCCAGGCGGCAGGAATTAATTGGAGGACAGGTGCCAAAAGGACAGGTTGAGCACTCACAACCAGCGAGCCACTAGAGGCAGGGCTGTCTTTGTGAGCTGTCGCAAGCAAAGCCTGCACCTTTGTCTCATGTATATCTGTCAAGCACCCATTTCCCAATACAGTGTGAGATCAACGCTGATAAGGCTGATAGTGGCTGCATTGCCTCGCGCGCATTCGTGACCTTTGGAAATCCAATCGTCACTTGGATGCTTCAACATGATGGCTTTGTGGCTGAACTTACCGCTTTCCGAGACGAACTGCACAACTAGAAACTCAAGCACACTTCAACCGTGCAGCACACGCACTTCTTGAATGCCAGGGAACAGCGGCAGTGCCAACCTATTCACCGCTATTGCATACGCATGCATAGCATGCGACATACAGAAATACTTGGGATTTATGAGCCAAGATGGCAGACCTGCAAGCACGATGGAATTGGTAACAGTAGCATTTCCCGTCCACTGCTCCGGAATGGCAGGACACTTCTTGTGGCATTTTGCTTCAGCAGTGTTGACTTCCTTTAATTCCTGCAGCATAATGCCGTTGCCGTGTGGAGTCTTGATAGGAGCCTCAAGGTGACAGACTTGTCGCTTCCCGCCACATCGATACGTCGGCCCTGAGGCGACACGGCCAACAAGATCGGCACCTATGCCCTGGCGGTGCTTGCGCGGTACCACGGCATCCCCTTCTACGTGGCGGCGCCACTGACCACGCTGGATGCAGCTTGCCCTTGGAGCAAACTCACTGGCTACGGCTTGGCTCAACAGGAGTGGGATTTCATTGGTGTCGTCGAGATGTGTTGGATCATCATGTCATTGGTATTTGCGCCCTTGCCGAGGCAAAGATGCGGCATGGCTCAGAGATCCCCATTGAGGAGCTTCATGTCAAAACCGGTGTGGTGCAGCATTTGCAATATACATGGAACCAGCTGATCGCATTTCGTTTTCGCCACAAAGCTTTCTCTGTTTCTCCACGACTCTTCCAAGAAGTGTGTCTCAGCACAAACGGGATTGGCCACCCATGGAAACACAGTCCTTTCTGTCTTGGTTAGCTCACCCTGGACTGCTCAACAAGGCCACGGAACTATCAAGATGCCAAGTTGAACCGGAGAACATCTCTTTGCCTGCAACCCGCGAGTCGCTCATTTGGGGAGCAGATTACCACCTAAATCACCATACAAAGTTCTCTGGAGCACTTTGTGTGGCATTTTCTCGAGTTCTGAGCCATCATTCTGGCAGACCATCTGTAAGATAGAAGTAGACTCCTACTTGAACTCTGTTTCCACACATGTGTCTTGAATATCGAAAACTTGGCAGCTTCCTGCAAACAGCAGCGTAATTCATGCTGCTAGCAGCAAGCACCATGACTGAGAACATTCTCCCTGTGTCTGTATCGAGCACAAACGTACTCGCTGTCACTAAGCCAGAACAGCTGTGCGTCTCCCTTTTTCTGAAACAAGATCTGCCAACCAGAGTCTATACTGGTTCATTCTATATAAAATATATTAAGTGTGTAGAACCGTATCATTCGGTATTTAAATCGTAATCTGCCATAAACAAATTGTGCTTAACCGCGAAACCATACCTATTTCATTTTGTTTTAACCAAAAAACATGAAGTTTCACTCATACCACCCCATTTCCCTTCCAAATTCCTAATTACTCTATAGTTAAACCGCACAATTCCATACTATCATATGCAATTCATGCTTGGCAAACCGCACACACACACACACATGCTTTGGCTTGCTGATACGGTGACACTTTGCCCCTATCCCAAAAACATCCAAGCATTTCTTCCACGTTTGATTGACAGCTGCAGAGGTGGGTGAGCTGAACCTATTCTTTGTGTTCTTTGTTTTTTGCTGAGGAAACCCAAAAGTCCCCTTTTAAAGGAAACCACCAGGGATGGTTCATAGGGGTCATTCCCTCACTCCTTGCTGAGAATAAGCGAGTCTCAAAATCGGATTTGGACCCCCCCAAATGGCGAAACGGTGTCCTTTTGGAGAACCAGAAAGACCAACCGAGAGGAATGGACTCGGAGTCGACCGTCGCGTTTCGGCCAGGAGCGGCCGGAGGATGAGCTGAGCTCCATGAAGATCAACGGCACGAGTTATCGCCTGGCGGCCCCCGGGATCTCCGTGTGGATCCTTGGCCTTCAAGGTGTACCCTCAAAACACAGGACACCGCGACACCCAAATGGCCAAGTGGCTTCTCTTTGAGTCCTGTCCTTCCGGGCGGTCTCTCTTGGATCTCTTTTGATATTTGGAGACAAGATGCAAGGCTCACGAGCTGAGGAACCCCGCCTTCGACGTCACCCCGGCCTCGCTCATCACGGGCATCGTGACTGACCGCGGCCTGGTGCCCAAGGCCAGTCAGGACGGATGGGCGACTCAGATGGCGTCGTCTCAAAGGGGCTCCTGAAGATTTGTGGCTTTCCTTTTGTTTTCCTTTGTAGCCACCTAAAAAAGGGAACCCTCAAAGCAAGACACCCCAGATAGGTGGCGCAAAGTTTGTGAATCGAACCAGGGATTTGTATGTCGAGTTGGTGGTGTTTGATTTTCGAGACGGTCTCCCTGTGTAGGACTTCGACGTGGAAGCCTTCCTGGCTTCCAGAGTGAAGAAGCGAAAGTTAGCGTGATGGGCAAACAAAAAGGGACGCGCTTTGAGAGGCCAGAAACTCAGCGGATAGTCACGACTTTGTGTGCTGTTCTGTACAAGAAGGCTTATGTTTATTTCCTCGAACTTCTATCAGCACTGGAGGCTGAGTGGCGCAGATGCGCAAGCCGTTTTGTGCACGTGCCCTGCCAACCATCCGCTGCCATTTTGCCGAGATGGCGCTCCAGCCTTGAGTCTGGAGGTCAATATTGAACATTGTTGCTAGACGGTGAGCCGAAGCTAGGCCTGCAAGCAGATATCAGGTGAGCTGGGACGATCACATTTTTGGAACACCATCCTTGCTCGGCAACAGCAATGCCCAGCCCGCAGCCACATCGCTCCTGCACTGCTTGTGACCTTCTCGGAGTATTCTCCATGGATTCCCTAGACTGGGATGACACTCCCTGGCCGTGTGCAGAGGCTCCACGAGCGGTTGTTTGACTGCTCTGCCCCTGACTCGGGACAGGAGTTTTAGCCCTTTGCTATACCATATGAACCAACTTGTAGGGCTCATACCCTCAAGCTGACCTCACCCCAAAGTGCCCAAATCGCAGAGCTGTGACCAGACCACCGTGTGCGAGCTCCTCACGGACAGTCAAGGGACGCTCCAGCCGCTGGATGAAGAGGCCTGCGGACTCCGTGGCAAGGCATCGTTTGCACCGGTATGAATCGGGCAGCGTGTTTATCGAAGAATCTTTAGGCGAATTTTCCCACCAGATTCTCACCGCACCCCCCTCTCTCGATCTTTAGATGGAGGCTGGAAGAACTTTGTTTGCACACCTGCCCTTCTCTTGTTCAGAATGAGAGCTCACTCAGCCCACTCTCTGCTTGCTGTCTGTTGAAGCATTGTGCTTTGCGGCGCTAATATATATATATATATATGTATCCCGTTTGTTTTTGGTCACCATCACTTCCTTTCATAGGGACACATCTCACGGAATCGTAAAACCGCGCAGCGAGTCAGAGGGTCAGAGCCAGGCCTGGAGCTTCAGCCGCCTCCGCGCGACCGCCCAACGTCTGGCGAGGCGCCTCCGCCTCCCCGTCGCGGGGGAGCGGCGCTGCGTGGCGCTGGGCTACGACGAGGGCCTGGCGCTGGTCCTGGCGCAGCTGGCGGTGGTGGAGGCGACGCGCTGGGGTGTTTCTGCAAAACCAGAAGTGACACAGGTGTTTCCTTGTGCTGTACAGGGTTTTCTCATTGAGATACCGTGACATGCTTGCATTGTCTTCTTGTCCGGTGCTGTTGCATTGCTGTGGCTTTCTATATGATTCATATATGTCCAGGGTCGAACACAGCGAAATGCTGCTTGTTCTTACCGTTGCATTTTCACACATCACACGGGCCAACATGACAGCTTTTTGGATTTTCCTTCACTTAACGTGGTGTGGCCAGTAAATTCTTTTTGTTGAACACACCATATGAAAGCCGGGACTGTCCAAGCCTGCCAGATGACGAGGACACGCTCAAGTGCCTTGCTGTCATGATGCATCCACGCCTGTCACAAGACAAGAACCCCCGCCCTTGTGTGTACGGCTGCCAAATGAGAAGAACCAATGCCCAAGTGCATTGC